TCTGCTCCATCAGGGCTGCGCTCCGAGGGGCAGCTCCACGTGGATTTAACCCCCACGACTCAGAGCTTCGAGCCTTAGAATCACCTCGCCTGCACAAGACCTGCGGGACTCGGCTCTCCCTCTTTAATCCCTCCGTTCCGCGTCAGCCCCGCTCCTGGCAGAGGGTGCACCGGGCCGTCAGCACGGAGACGTCCTTCACATGCACAGAGGCAGCAGCCAGAGCCACAGAATTCTCCGTGCGTTCCTGTAAATCTACCCAGCACAGCTTCAGCCGGGGCTGATGGATTGAAAGCAGCTCAAAAAAGCAGAGCACGCTGGGCTCAGGATGGAAGCACGACAGTTAAGGGCCCTCCAGCACGAGTAAATCACGTTTATTATTTCAAAGCTTGCGGACGGAGTTCCTGAATCTCTGCACAGCTGCTGTTCCGCACGAGCGTTGCGGCTTACAAAGAGAAGCCGATCGTTTTCTCGGCTTCGTTCCTCAGCGTCCTGCCGCAGCCTTTCCACAGCACCTGCCACCGCGCAGGGAAACGAAGACATCTCTCGAAGTCAGCTGAGGTTCTCGGAAGTCTCCTGGCCCAGCTCCAACGCAGGGCAAACAGCAACGCCGAGGCCGTCGCCGCAGCGTGACGCCGGGGCTGTTTGGACAAGGCTCGGCGAACAGAACGGCTGTGTTCCTCACCCCATTTATCAACAAGGTCCTAGCTATTTAAACTGGAAGTTCTTGGCAGCTCACGTTTCGAGTCCAGGCTCGTCCTCTTTCCCCTCCTTGATGGGGCAAAGCCGTCTGGACAAGATCCTGTGCAGCCTACTGTAGGTGACCCTGCTTCGGCAGGGGGGTTGGACTAGATGACCCACAGAGGTCCCTTCCAACCCCTACTATTCTGTGATTCTGTGATTCTGCTGGATCTGGCTTCCTGCAATCAAGGAAACAAACATTCCAGCTCCCAGTTAGGGTTGAGGCCGTATGTGTATCTTCTCTTCCTGCCGTACGTATATCTTCTCTTCCTTCCCTTCCTTCATCGCAGCGTAGCGCGCCAGGACGAAGAGGTAGTCGCTCAGTCTGGAAAACCAAGGGAAGAGCAGAGAAACCGCCCCTCGCACCGGGGACGTCTGCGTCCCGCAGCGCCCGGGCACCCAGCGAAGCCCGCCCGGGGACAGCACAGCCACGCCACGTCAAGGCGGGCAGAGAGGGACCACAGGAGAAGCGCTTGGCGAAACGGCCCGCCGTAAGCGAGCCGACTGCTCCCTCGGCACTGCAGCAGGGTCTGCGAGCACGCAGGCCTCACAAGAGTCCTTTACAACAAGCTGCTGGTCGAAAACTCCAAAGATCTTACCCAGGGGAAGCTTCTCGAGAGGTAAAGCCCTGCAGTCCTAGCCCAAGGCTAAGGGAACAACCCCCGGCAGCTTCAGGAGCACAAAGTAAGGGTGGGGAGTTTTATTTTCTTTTACCTGTTCAAGTATTTGGCCACGTTTGGATCTGCTTCCCCTGCTTGTACTAAAGGAACCACGCTAGAACAAGAAAAGGAAATTTTTAGTGTATTTACCTTTCTAGACCCGAATGCACCAACGACTGCGACTTGCTGGAGCCCCACTGTCCCCACACCAGCCTCGCGAGCCCCCATTCCCCGTCTGCTTCCCCAGGAGGAACCTGTGGTGGCTACGTAACGCGACTGCGTAACGCAACTAATACTTGTAACTACTATTTGTAAGGACCACTGCTCCACTCCTCGAACGGCTGCTGCTCCGGAGTGGTGTCACTGAACAACGGAGCGGTCTGCAGGTGATTAATGCCCTGAGGGATCGTTATCCTTTCCTGCAGGTCAGCAGGGACGCTGCTTTTCGCTGGTCCCTGCCTCCCAACGGGCGCACAGCTCTCTTTCCAGCTTGCTTTTGGCGAGAAACCACCGAGTGGGATGCTAGCTTCTCATCCCACCGAGTGGGATGCCTCGCAGCAGAGCATGCCCACCCAAGCGCCTTCCTGCCATCAGCAGAGCCCCCGGCCGCCGGCGCAGACGGGCAGGGGCGGGCCGACACCAGAGGCGAT